GGGGCAGGGCTCCGCATTGGACCCAAGCCACGAACCATGCGGTGAAAGGTGAGCCATCCAAGGGGGGACACGCTGGCCAGTGGGAGGAGGCATCGGATGATGCAGCCCGTGCCGTGGCTATATTGCGGCGCGGCTCCAAACGCCAGTCTTTGCACAAGGTACCCGTGTGTGGGGAGTTGTGGCTCGGTATCCTGGGCAATTAGGCCCCAGGGGTGCCTCGAGGGCATGCGGCTCCGTAAGGCGTGAGTGCGCGCAGTGCCCGGCAAAGCAGTGGCGGACAGAGAGGGAGAGAGAGAGAGAGAGAGAGACAGACAGACAGACAGACAGGAGCCAAAGGCGAAGGTGCGGGGTACGTCAGTTTCCCGATCCCCTCGGAGGAAAGAGAGCAGGGCACAACTCGGGGTGGGGGAGTGAAACAGGCCCTTGGTCCTGGCGCTGGCTCCCCCGCCCCCGCCCCCCCCCCTCATCGCTCCCGCCCTGGCAAGGGCAGGAACAAAAGGGGACCGACAAGAGAGCGGCAAGCCGCCCCTGGATGCGCGATCTGGCCTCGAGTCGACTGGCGCCCCGCACGCCATCGCAAGGACCGACGGCGGGGGGGCTCACTTCCCCCGGCACCTTGATGAGGCGGGCCGGCCGACCGGCCAGCCGGCCGGGCGGGCACAGCACAATATCTCCACAGCTTTATTAACCATCGTGTCCCATGTGGCCACCACACGCCTGGCCGGTGGCGGGGCCCGGGGGGCTTGCTCCCGGGTGGGGGGGGGGGGGGGACGAGGGGCAGGACACTACATCTGCCATCGTCGGGACGTGCCCGCCCAGGCTCGACAGGGCCGAGGCAAGGCGAGCACGCAGATTGATTGGTATCCTGTCGCGCCAGGAACGGGGGGTCAAGGAGGCCGGACACGCCCTTGCGCTCCTCTCGGCTCCCCCCATCCCCGGGCCGGGGAACGAGCGCCTACAAGTGGCTGAGGGTTTCCCCAAGCCAGGCTCGCAAGGAATTCCCCCTCCCCCTGGTTCATTGGGCCCAGGGCGGTTATCGACCAAGGCCGACATTCCATTCGGCCACCGAAACGAACACACAAGTACGCAGCAGGAGGCGCCAAGACCCGGAGAAGGGAGGGGCCGGGGGGTGGGGCGCAGGAACAGGGCCCCCCAAACGAGACCGAAGTACCGGGAGGGACGCAAAGGGGGGCGGGTGCGGGTGCGGGTGCGGGTGCCGGCGCCCGCGCCGGTGCAGGGGGGGGGCAACGGTCGGGAGGGTCAAAGGACCGCGTCACCCGGCATTCGGATGTCCACGGGCGCCGAGAGCGGGGCCCCAGGGCCGAAAAGTTGCCGGAGTGCGGGATACCGCCCGCTCGCCGAGACGACCAGGAGAATGGCTTGGAGAGTCCACACAACTGAGCAAGGTGGGGCGGGGGGCACCTCCCTTGTTGCTCACAGACAGGGACATCACCGCGCAAGAGCCGCGCGACCGACGTCCGCCGGTGGCCAAACGCAGCCGCCGGAGGTGGGGGGCCGGCCGGAGTCCCAGGGTGCAAGGCGGCATACCCTCCCCGCCCATCCCTCCGCCCTGCATCCCACAGGGACTCGAGGCAGGCCGCTCCCTCTTTTTGCATACACGCTCCCACGCCCCCCCCCCCCCCCCCCCCTTGGCTGACTCAACACCCCGCCGGCTCACAGGGTGGTGCTGCTCTACAGTTCAACTGGCCTCCTGATTGGACACGGCCGCTTCGGCACTTTCGTCAGACCCCCTCAGCTCCGGCCCCCCCCCCCCCTCCCCCCCTTGCCTCCGCCGGAGAAGAGGGGGTGCGTACCCCCCCCACCCCCCCCCGTTGCCGGGGCGCGGCGCGTCAATGTGTCTCTGCATCTCGGACACACGCACAATCGCTCGTTCCAGCCAGGAAAATGGCAAGGTATGCCCCTCAGGAGCAGGTGGAATGCACGGCCGTGCAAATGCCCTCTAGATCACCTTCTCCGCGTGTGTTTAACTCGCTTCCTTTTGATCGTCCGGTCGGTTAAGTGGCGCGTTTGGTGCCATCTCCAAATTCCCAGGAGCGGCCGTCGGAATTTCGTTTCAAATGTACGTAGCCACGGGCTGCCGAGGGGCTTCGTCTTCTAGGCAGCCCCTCTTTTTGTCCCTCCGCCCCGCACGCCTGTGTGTGCCCCCGCACCCTCCTCCCCCCATTCTCCCCCAGCTGGCCGACTCTGCAGGCCTTTTCAATCCACTGGTCGTGGCCTTCTGAGAAGATTCCTCGCCCAGCCCGAGAGCACTCGACCGGAGTTGTGCGCCCCCCTCCAATGAGCCGACCACTTCTCCATCCTCGCCGTGGGCCGCAGCTCGATCAGGGGGCGGGGCGGGAAAGACCCGACGAACAACCGTCGAAGGCCGCCAATGTCAGCTGCGGCCAGCACCCTGGGGAGAAGCCGCTGGACAAAAAGCGAGAGAAGGGGGCGAGAGGGGCTTGCTGACTAGAGGAAACGCCCTCATCGAGCGGCGCCCAAAGGCCGGGGCCATGGAAACGGGCACACGCACGCAAGTTCAGCAGCCCCCTCCCCCGCGCCCATCCCCCTCTACCCCTCCCTCCTCCCCTGACTTTTGGATTGACGCTGCCCACCCTCTTTGAGCCCATAACCAGCGCGACGTCCTCTCCCTCTTCCGCCCCTCTCCCCCCTCCCTTCCTCCATCTGCTCAACTCTGCGCAAACATGGCATCCAATCAGCCCATCGACCTATGGAAACCCTTTCACTTTATTTCGCTGGCCAGCGACAGTTCGGCTCAGCGCCCGCAGTTTCGCATCAACGAACAGGCTGTTAGGGCTCTCGAGAAGATGAGGGTCCCCATTTCAGTGCGTTCCCCCTTCGATCCCTGCAAGGACTTGCGTCTGCCCCTCTACACACACACACACACACACACGCACACGCACACGCACACACACACACACGCGCTCGCGCGCGCGCGCGCGCGCGCGTATACATGGCTCTTACGCCCATGGATTTCCCAACTGTCGACGACTGACTCGATCATCATGCAGGTGGTGGGCATTGTCGGTCTCTATCGCACTGGCAAGTCGTATGTTCTGAATCGCCTGTCTGGCCGGCAGTCGGGCGCTGGCGGCTTCGCTCTTGGATCCACCATTGGTCCGTCCACCCCTCCATCCCCGGGCGCCCCGGCCCCGCTTTGCAATTCCCCCCTCTCCCTATCCCTGCCACCCTCGGCTGACCGGTCTGGATGGTCTAGAACCCTGCACACGCGGCATCTGGGCCTGTCTGGTGGATCCCGACGCCGTCAGGCGCGAGTTCCCGGGCGTGGATCTCCCCGGCATCCAAACCTCGGTCTGCCTGCTGCTGGATACCGAGGGGCTTGGGTCATATGCGGCAGATCGGACGCACGATGCCTCGGTCTTCGCCCTGGCCATTCGCCTATCCTCGCTGCTGGTGTACAATTCGGTTGGCTCCATCGATGAGGGGGCCCTTGAGAAACTTGGGTACGCGTGCTGATCGGCGCCGCCCCACATGCCGCTCCACATGCGGCCACCGACTGACTGGCCCCTGCCTCCTGCTGGCGACCCTACCTTCGGCCTTGCTTTCCCCCTGCCACCCGCAGCCTTGTCGTCGAGTTGACCCGGCAATTGTCAACCAAGGACAAGGCCAATGCCGGCGGCAGTGGCGGCAAGAACAACCTCATCGACGCCCTGGACAGCCCGCGCTTCATCTGGCTGCTGCGGGACTTCAGCCTGAAGCTGGAGACCTCGGATGGGCGAAAGATCACCCCGGCCGAGTATCTGGAGCATGCATTGCAGGTGGTGCCGGAGCCGCGGGCGGCACTCGCCGCAGGGGGAGCCTCCGCCTCCTCGTCGAAGAACCAAACTCGCGCGTCCATCTCCCGGGCCTTCCCGAACCGCGGGTGCCATGCCCTTCGGCGACCCGTGCGCGATGAGGCCGACCTGCAGGCCCTCGGCCGGGGCGACCGCCAGATCGAGCAGGCCCTCCGGCCGGAGTTCCTGACCGATGTGGATGCCTTTATCCGAGATGTGTACCGCGAGTTGCCGGTGGTGCGCGCACGCGGTGTGCCGATGAACGGCCAGAGTGCGTGCCGACCACCCGCCAAAAGCGGCCGTGGACCAATGCACTTTTCGATCCAAATGCGCAGCACGTACTGACACGCAAAAACCATCCCCGCCCGCTCCCCCGGCCAAAACGTCCCCACACAACAAACACACAGTGTACATCGACTATGTTGAGGCGGTGGTCAAGTCCATCAATGCCGGGGCTTTGCCTGTCCTGTCATCCACCTATGCCAGCGTGCTCTCATCGCAGAAGGCCCGCATGTGCGAGGCACTGCTCCAGGAGTTCGATCGTCAGGTTGCACACCTCAGCGCGCCCGTGCCCGCGGGAACTCCGCCCGTCCAGATGGATGACTTTGACCAGCTTCTCTCGCGTGCCCGATCGGCCTTTGCACACATCTCCATCATGTATGCCGGTGACCTGGCCGAGACGGCCTCCCTGCCCGGGGACTTTGCCCTGCCCGCCGGGTCCGAGGCCAGTGATCTGATTGGCTGGAGGGCTTTCGAGCGGGAACTGCTCAATCGTCGCCAGAACTTCGAGCGTGCGCTGACTGACGCCTCGCGCACCGTGTGCATTCGTCTGGCCGAAGAGCTTCTGGACGATTTCCGGTTCGTCTCCCCCATCAGAGCGTGGTCTCTGGTCCTGCCCCTTCCTGGCATCACGCTTTCCCTCTTTTTTTTCTCCATCCCCTCTCTCCTCTCTCCTCTCTCTCCTCTCTCCTCTCTCCTCTCTCTTCTCTCTCCTCTCTCCTCTCTCCTCTCTCGCTTTCCCTCTTTTTTTTCTCCATCCCCTCTCTCCTCTCCTCTCTCTCCTCTCTCCTCTCCCCTCTCCCCTCTCCCCTCTCCCCTCTCTCCTCTCTTCGTATATATGCACACCCCGCCCCCCCCCCTCCCCCTGCCCATTTCCATTGACGCTCTACAATGGCCCCCCTCCCAGGGACGAGTGCGATAGCCTCGACAGTTGGGATCTCTTCTCTGCGGCAGCTGATGAGCTCCTTTCCAAGTACGATCGCGCGGCCATCGGCCCGGCCCGGCATCTGCCCCACCGGATGCTGATGCGATCGATCGTAGACTCGGGGTCGGCATTGGCGGCGGCACTGGCGCGCGAGGAGCGTCAGACGCTTGAGCGCTCTTTCCAGGCGGAGCTGGACCACGCCACAACCCGAGCCCGGCGTCTTGAGACCGAGGCCGAGCACTCGCAGAAGACGGTCGATCGTGCCCGAGCCGAGGCTACTCGTCTCAATAATGAGAACATTGCCCTGATGAAGTCCCTGGAGAAGGTGGCCGACGCGCTGACCGACATGCGATGAGCGTGCTTCTGGGCCATCAGTGCGGCTGTGCTTGAAATAGACCCTCGTGACCGGGGCTGCTCGTGATTCGAAGTCGTCTCTTTTCCAAGCCCCGGGCTGAAGAGCGTCTACTCGAGGGAGGGGGGCGGGGGGGGGGCCAGGGCAAGCCAAATGCCCAGAGACGTCCGGGCGACGCGCATGTTAACAGCCTTCTAGCACATGCCCGAAAGTGGACAAAGAAAGGCCCTCGGCCCGCGCCCTGGGTGCCCAAGGGAGCAGGAGGGAGAAGCAATGCCCGCGATCAATACATTCCGATGGCGGTCTGCCAGCCAACCGGGCCGTGTTCCCTCGGCCACTAACCTAGGAAGGGACAGGCTTGAGCATGCCCCCCCCCCCCCCACCGCCCTCCTCGTCCCGTCTTCGCTCGTTGACCAACCCTGCCCGAGGGGGTTTGGACTTGTTGCACGAGCCCGAATAACTGACGACAACACCGGCATGCGGAGACGCCCACGCGTGCGCCCGAGCGCGGAGTGCGTTGCCCATATGGGATGTAAGAGGGGGCCAGGGCTTCAGAGGCGCGGAAATGGCGCGGTCCTGGCGCATCTCCGGCGCCGGCACAATGTGCCGGAGAAATGCGCCCCGGCGAGCAGGAATACGGCTGAGGTGCTGGGCGCCGCGTCCCTCGAGCCCGGGATGGCTGACTGGCCCGGCATCCGGGTCGTGGCGGAAAATGCCGCGGGCGATATTTGGCAAATCGCGCGCCGGAGAGGAGAGAATGCGCCAGAGGCTGGCCGCGGGCCGGAGAAACGCATGACAGACGGCGGGGAATGTGCCCTGGCGGTCGGCGATCAAGGAACGGCGACAGGAGAATGGAGCAGGATCATTTTTTGCTGATCTCCCTCGAGCGAATGCATGAGTTATGCCAGGCAGTGGCGGGGGCAATATTGTGCGGCAGCACAACGCCGCTCGCGGCGCCACGCCCCCGCCGCCGCGCGCCGGACTCGCGGGGATTTGGCCCCCCCATTCCATGCCGCGGCATCGGGGCGACCGTCTGGTGAAAGCCGGCGCCCATCCAACCGTCGGGGATTTCGGCTGACTGGCGAGCGAGACGAGGTCTCCCAGGGCGAATGTCCCCTCTCTCCCGGTCATCCTGGTCCAAGGCTGGTGGAAGAGTTCGGGCGCGAGACTCCCGCGGCCCCCCGCCCCCCCCCCCCCCCCCCCCCCCCCCCCCCCCCCCCCCCACCCCCCCCCACCCCCCCCCCCCCCCCCCCCCCCCCCCCCCCGCCCCCCCCCCCCCCCCCCCCCCCCCACACACCTGGCAGGAAATAAACCGTCTGCCCTCCTGGAGGGGGCATCTCCCTGTCAGGATGGGCCGCAGCCACCAGTGCCAACTCTCAACAGGGACCTCTAGAGAGGCCACTGGCTCCTCGGCTGGGGACGCCCTGCCGCCTCGCCCCCCCCCTGACGTGGTGAAAGGCCACCGTATGCGCATGCAGGCGGACCAGCGTTCCCCCCCCCCTCAGGACCCGGCGGCCACGAACTCCGAGCCCGCGGGCGCCTCCCCCTGCCAGACACTTTCGGAAAAGCGGTCCAGGCGCCAGGCCCCCTGCGTGCAGATCGTTCGATCGTTCGGTTGGCCCCAGCTCTCGGGTTTCACATGGCGGCAAACGCTTTCGGTCACGGCGATCCCCGAGGGGGGCGGCCGGGGTGGAAGGCGAGGACTCATCGCCCGCCCCCGGGCATGCCCCTGCCCGGCCTCCGCCCAGCCCTCGAGGTCGCGGCCCGGGCTCCCCCCGCGAGCGAGAGGACCCCGGAGCCCAACAGAGGGTGTGGGATGCAGCGCGGCGGGATGGGTGCCCGAGGGGGAGGGGTGTTCAGCACGAGCCCGGCCCCCCCCCCCCCCCCCCCGGGAGGCCCGGCACACGCCGCACGCTGCCATTACACTATCCCAGTTCAGGCCCGCCGGTAGCCGCCAATGGAGCACCCCGGCGCGACTCGCCGCCCTCCCGCGAGGGTAAGGCCGCACGGTGCTTTCCAGGAAGACACGGCCCCGGGGTCCCGTGTGGTCGGCCAACGGGCCTCGAGCCCTCTTCTCGCCGGGTGGGGCAGGACGGCCGTCGCAAGATCCCGCACGGGCCCCGGGGGCGCACATGGCAGAGGCGTGCCCGCCATCCGCCTCGCACCGGGGCGAGAGGGATCACCGACAGGGCCACCCGGAGCGCGGGGGCCGAACACACGGACGCCCGCCGAATGCCAGCCCGCGCATAGTCCCAGTCCATGAGACAAGAGTGGGCCCATGCACGGGGAGGAGGCCCCAGTCTGTCGGGAGGGGGGGGGGACACAAGCATCCTGCCTGAGGGGTTATAGCGCCTCTTGCACTGGCCTCTAATCAGGGCCGGGGGGGGGGACATGGCGTGCCGGCCCACTTGCGGCGCTCCCCGCAGCGCTGTCGCGCCGTCGCGGTCATTCTTGCCTACCAGGAAAACGGGATGGGGGCTCCGCTTTCTTGGCCAGGGCATCTATGAATGGGGAGGGGGGGCATGCGTGTCAGTCCGGACTCGGGGACGGCGGTTCCCCTCTGGGCAAGTCTGCACCTCCTCGGCCCTGCCCCCGCCAACCCGCCCGGAGGGCGCGAGGGGCACGGGCAGGGGAGGATAAGAGCCGCCTCTTCGAATCGCCACTACCCAGGTTGCCACATCCCCCATCAGTGTGACGCCCGATCCCGCCTCGCATTCCCCTCCCCCCCCCCTGCCCTCTCCCGCGCACGCACATACCCACCCACACCAGCAACCATGAGCGACAACTCCTACCCCCCTCCCGCCGACACCAAGCAGGACGCCCCCCCCGCCTCCGGTGGTGGCAACACCTCTGTCAGCGTCTCCGTCTCGGCGGTCTTTAGCCTGCGCGGCCTCCTGCGTATGGCTCTCTTCTCCTGCGCCCTCATCGGTGTCATTCTCTGTGGCCATGGCTTCGGTGCTGGTGGCTGGTACACCTTCGTGGCCGTTTGCTCTCTCCTCTTCTGTCTCTACTTCATCATCCACTATGCCTTCCTGGGCAGCCTCTACCCCAGCAGCTTCGCCGCCTTCTGCCCTTCGATTGAGTTCTGGTTCGATTCTACCTGGACTGTGTTCTGGCTGATCGCCGCCATCGTCGTCTTTGTGGATTACCACCACTTTGGCCGTCTCATCGCGGCTGGTGTGTTCGGGTGCGTTCTCAACATCATCCCCCACTGGCCCCTCCCTTTCTTTTTTTTTTCCCTGGTCCAGCGCCCGATGTTCCCCGGGCGCGCCTCCTCCTTGGCCCATCCCCCCGCCCGCCCCCTGGTGGTCACGCATCACTGACACCATACCGCACATGTCCAGTCTGGTTTGCGCTGGTCTCCACGGCGTGCTGGCCATCATGATGTGTGCCCATGCCCGGTGCAACGGCGCCATCACCATCACCGTCTAAGGGGGGGAGCAGCAGTGGACGTGTGTGCCCCTCTCCCGCCCATTTTTTCTCGTACCTCGACGCTGTTGTCCCGTGTACCTGTCAGTTTCCCCGGCATCTTTTTCCTGTCCCCAGCCCGTCGCCGGGCGCGGACTCTCTGCTTCTTGCATTCTCCCCTGCCCCTCTCCTCCCCGTTGTTCTCGGGGGAGGAGTAAAGCACGCCCCAGCGCGCGCGCCTCACCGAAGTCTGCGCAGCACGAGAATGAGTATCCTCTCGGCGCGCGCATGTGCTGCGCGCGTGCCCTCCCTACCATGCTGGGGTATATCCACACGCAATATACATACATAAACCACAAAGCCACACACCCGCGCGCGGCGCAATATGCACGGAAGGGTAGCGAGCTTGCCGGCGACACCGAAGAGCTCCCCGCGGCTCGTGCATATGTGTGCGAGAGGGGGGGGGGGATGAGGCACAGGGAAGGGGGATTCTGTCCAGAATGCGCGGCTCTCCACACACGAGCGGGAAAGTTGGCATGGATGCCAGTTGATCGTGAGCTGTAGCGAGGAGCCAGCGAAGTGGGCAATCCAAGCGGCCTCCGGCAACGTGCGGGCGGACGGCGAGGGCGGGGGGGGGGGGGAGGCAGCAAATCAGCCCACTGGCATGGGGGTGGAGGGGGGATAAAAGGGGCAAAGAGGGCGAGGCATGTGCGAACTGTCCTCCCTCCCCCCGCTCCCTGCCCGGCCACATACCAAACACAGGTACGCACGGTGCACGACCAGCTGATGCCGGCGGCGGAGGTCCCCTCGCCTGACGGGGGGAACAACTGCCGCCCCCGGGGGTGGCAGGCAATACAAGCCGAAGAAACAAGGCCCGCGGCAGGCTTGGAGAGAAAGGGCGCACCAGCCGTGAACAACAATCCCTGGCATGTGGGAGGGGGGGAGGGGGGGGGGGGGCGAGGGTGTGCCACCGGGGCCCCATACCGCGGTGTGCCTACCGCGGTGCGCCCACCCTGCCCACAGGGCGCCGGCCCAAAGAGGAATGCGAAATGTGGCCGGGTGATGTCCACATGCGTGATTCTGGATCCTCTCGAAGATGATCATGTTATCTCTCTGGTGATTGATCCGCCCGCTGGAGTTTTGGGAGCCCCCCGGGGGGGGGGGCGCGCGCGTCCACAGGGGCCAGCGCCGGCGCGTGCGGAGGTATTTGCAGACACGGTTGAAAAAGGATGCGGCGACGGAAAAACACTCGGAGCGCCAAGATGCGGCGCGCTATGGGCCCTGCGGGGTCGACGGAATTCGGACGAGGAAGGGGAGACGCCGATGGACCTTGATGAGCGGCTTTTAGGGCGTTCGGCCGAAGAAGAACAGGCACACGGGGTGTTGGGTATTTGTCCATTTTCGGGCGCGCTCGAGCGGAAAGGCGCCCGCCTCTCCTTTTGCCCAGCTCCCTCCCGCCATGGCCATAACCCTGTGCATGCTCTGGCGCATCACCCGCCCGTGCGCACGCGGAGGCGGGAAGGACACGGGCGAGCGAGCGAGCGAGCGAGCGAGCGAGCACAGGCGGCTCGAGGGGTGACGGAGGACCACTTGCGCCAGCGTCCAGGGAGCGCGGAAAGCGGATTGTCTGTGCATTCCTTTCGCAGAGTCAAAAGGCGGGGGATTGTATCTTGTAAAGTCGGTATTATTTGTCTTCATTTTTTGGTTTCCGCGCCGTTCGGACTCCATCCCCGAGGAGGAGCAGGGGCGGGCACAACCCGATTGTTTTTTTGTTTTTTTTTTTTCGCGACCCTCTCTGGCCGGATGGTGGGTGGGGCTGTTTGTATGCTCTACCTCGACTCCGGGTGCATGGGACCCGAGACGGGCGGGGGCGGCCGGGCCGGCGACGAGAAACCCAGCCCGATCCCCCTTTTGTCCTGCTCCCAATACATGCGTCGTGCTCTTTCCCCGCCCCCCCTCCCCGGCCCTGAGCTGCGGGCC